ATTAAGCTCTTGTGCAGGATTGTTCACAACTTCTACATGAATTTTATCATATTAGCTTTTGTTTTGCCCATAAGGAGATCAATCAAGTAGTTGATGTTGAGCTAAACTTGCAACTACCCTTTCTCCTAAACAGATTTATTACCGTCCCATTTTATTTTTGCATATGATTGTTTTGGAGAGAGATAGGTGTTGGAAAAATGGTTTAATATAGGCATATTTTTTAGTCCTATTTGAGTGGGCCCTGTAGAAGCGCCCGTGTGGAGGCCCTTGTTGCTACAGTTCGGACTCGATTTGTGTCACGGTTCTTAATCTTGAACCAAAGAGTCCAAATCCGGCAAATCGTTTTGAGAAACAGATTTTTTGAAAGAGAGTGCCAAACATGGACTGCTTTGCCAGATACAGAGTCTCCACCTAAATATTTTAAAATGGGAGAATTTAGGAAACCCTGACTCGGTGCGAAAGCCACATGTCCTCATCACCGGAGTTGTCTCGGCTCGGGAGCTAGGGTACGATGGGGAAGGTCAGCTATGAGCACCCCTTCTCGTCCGATCCGAAGATCGGCCTCTACTAACCGTGATATCCGTTTTTGAAAATATTATGTGTTCTTATACCATTTATTAGCCTAGAATTACTATGTTATGCGCGCAGCAAACAAGTATAGACTAGATTGCCTAATTTGGAAATAAGCATTGCATATCCGTTGTTTTTTTGAAAAATGCTTTGGACTTTGCTACTCGCAAGTAGGCTAAAATACGGATTTCAACGAGTCTTTCCAACTCAAACAATCCAACCTTTACCCACAGGCATTCAAACAGTTTATAACACATAAGCATCTAGCCACATGGTAAGCATGCTGTCATGGTAGCATTCACGCGCATGCGATATGCTAAAACATTTAAAATACTTACATAGTACTCCGTGCCAAAACAAAGAACTTGTTAGCAGACATGCATGATCCAAGTCCATGTTATGCCTAATGCATCGCATACAACATGTTACTAGGATAGGCTCGGCTAACCTACACATGGCATGTGAAATGCGATTAATTGATGCACGTATTCAATTTGGGATTGGAATACAAATGCAGTTAGCATGATGTACCGAGCCCGGTG